CCTCCTCCTCCTCCTCCTCCTCCTCCTCCTCCTCCTCCTCCTCCTCTTGCTCTGCGAAAAGGGGAGCCCTCCTCTGCCCGCGCCGTTGCTGCCCGAGGCGGAGCGCTTCTGGCAAGAGAAGAGGAGCTGGGAAACTGACGGGCGAGAGCGCCCCGCTTGGCACAGGAACGCACCCTCCAACCGTGCTGTCCCCTTGGGCCTCCTAGATGGGGTCGGAGAAGATGAGGTCAGAGGATCGCTCCGCATCGCCGATGCATCGCCGATGCGGCTCGATGTGGAGCCCGCTGTCCTTCACGCCGACGTCGCCGATGCATCGCCCGCGTCGACGATGCATCGCAGGCGCATCGCCGATGCATCGCCGATGCAAAGCCGATGTATCGGCGATGCGGCGCGATCCCCCGACTCCATCCACTCCGACCCCATCAACGAGACCTCTAGTTCCGCAAAGAACAATGGGGCTATTGAGAGGCGAAGAAGATCCAAGCGAGAGCCCAATGCTGAAAAGGACACCCCCCTCTCATCCCTTGGCCTCGCTCGGACATGTGCGTTTGTTTCTCGGCGAGGACCATCGAGGAACATCCTGGATCATCTTGCGAAACATACTTGCACGAAAACGAAAAATGCATGGGGAATGGACGTCCCAGCGATGGCAGGATGAGAGACGAAGAGGTTCCAACGCGAGAGCCCAATTTTGAAAAGGATCCTCCCCCATCCGTCTAACTGAGGCGTTCCAAAAAGGGCCTCGCCTTCGAGGATCGAAGGAGTTGCCATCTCGTCCTCAGCTGAAGGCGGCGGAAATAAAACGAGGCCGCCTCCGCCCGCGGAAGCTGGCGAAAGGCTGGTGGAAGGCGGCGGAGCAAAAGGCAATTTCCCGAAAGATGGAAACGTTTTTAGGTTCAGGGGTTCCGCTATCGGCTAACGGGCGGGAATGTGTAAGACAAATGTGCGCGCCGCAGGAGAGAGAGAGAGAGAGAGCCATTTGTTGAGAGTCACCCACACCTCCGCCCGTGTAGCCTTATCAAAGACAACCGTTTCAGCCGGATGCGCACGACGTTGATACAAGAGCCACATGTTCAAAACCACCCGTCATCCATGTATGTGTTGGAAGTTAGTCAGACGAATGTGCGCAGCGCTACGGCGATTGTCACGTTTGGACCCCCGCCTCCGTTCATGCTTTAAGATGGTGGGGGTCATGCTTCAAGATCACAGATAATGTATGAAGAAGTCTCAGGCTCAACGCCAGGAAGAGGAACGGAGGAGGAGGATAAGGAGGAGGAGGAGGTGAAGAGGGAAGGAGCAGCAGCAGACGAGGAGGAGGAGGAGGTGGAGGAGGAGGGGGAGGGATGAGGGGGAGAAAGCAGAGGCAGGAGGGGAGGATGATAACGAGGGTGACGAGGAGGAGGACGATGGCGACGGCAGCGACGACGAGGAGGACGAGGGCAATGACAAGCAGAAAAAGAAGAAGAAAGAGGGGGAAGAAAAGGAGAAGGAGGAGGATAACCGTAGAGTGAACAGCAGCACCTCTCTCCTCTCTTCCTCCTCTACTTCGCCCTCCTCCTCCTCCTCCTCCTCCTCGTCACCACCACCACCACAATAATCGTCAACATCACCGTCATCATCAGTATCATCATCGTCATCAGCATCAGCATCAGCATCATCATCAGTTGTATCATCAGTTTCATCATCGGAGTCAGCATCATCATCACCACCATCATAATCAGCATCATCAGTTTTAGCATCATTCTCATCATCATCAGCATCATCAGCATCACCATCACCATCACCATCACCATCATACACCCATTCCTCCCTTCTCCTGCATCCTCCCCCTCCTACTCCTCCCTTCTCCTGCTCCTCCTCATCCCCATCCCTCCTCCTTCTCCTCCCTCACTCCTCCTTCTCCCTCCCCTCCCCCCAGGTGGACACGCTGGTGGTGGGAGGGGGTATCTCCGGATCCTCCCTGGCGTACAACCTGCACCGCGCCGGGGGCCGCGTCTTGCTGACCGAGGCGCGGGACTACTTGGGCGGCAACGTCAGGAGCGGGCGGGCTCTGGCTTCAGCCTGAGGCCCCAGGTCTTCGGATTGACACTACATACGGTCAGGAATTTCGGCTTAGCGTGTCACTCCTTCCAGTTCTGGCCCACCACGCTTCGGCGCGACAAGCTATCCACGTCCACATCTCCAAGCTCCTATATCCCGAGCCTTTCCGAGCCTCCCGCCCCGCGGAGCATAGCGAACGCCATCCGCTTGCAAGGCATAGCGTGTCGCCGGCGGAGGGGAAAAATGGAACGAGAAGCAAACAGACGACACCTGCCGGGCAGGAGGGAAGCTGGGGCCCCCAGAACGAAGCAGACGTGCGGACAGTTCAGCCCCATCGGTTCCCACCCAGAACTTCGACGATTTGTTTTTCCCAACCATCCTGTGGTGTTGGGTCCTCGTTTTGAACAGACAGCGCCCCGCGTCCCACCTCCTTCCTCCTTCCTCCTCCTCTCCTCCTCCTCCCTCCTCCCCCATCCTTGCCTTTGCTCTCCGCATGTCTCAGCTCACCCCCTCCTCCCATCATCATCATCATCATCATCATCATCATCATCATCATCATCATCATCATCATCATCATCATCATCATCATCATCATCATCATCATCATCATCATCACCCTCACCCTCACCATCACCATCACCATCACCATCATCATCATCATCATCATCATCATCATCATCATCTCAATCATCATCATCATCATCATCATCATCATCATCTCATCATCATCATCCATCGTCATGATCGGCATCGCCGATGGCTGGCTCGTTCGTGGCCCCATAGGGAGCTCCACCGATGGCCCCAGTGGGGGGGTGGGGGGGGGGGCACATGCGTCCCCCACGCCCAGGACAGCGCTTCATGGCCCCATAGGGAGCTCCACCGAAGGCCCCATGGGGGGGCACATGCGGCTCCCACGCCCAGGACAGCGTTTCGTGGCCCCATAGGGAGCTCCACCGAAGGCCCCAGCGGGGGGGGCCACATGCGTCCCCCACGCTCAGGACAGCGTTTCGTGGCCCACAGGGAGCTCCACCGAAGGCCCGAGCGGGGGGGAGGGGCACGTGCGTCCCCAACGCCCAGGACAGCGCTTCGTGGCCCCATAGGGAGCTCCACCGAAGGCCCCAGTGGGGGGGGGGGGCACACGCGTCCCCACGCCCAGGACAGCGCTTCGTGGCCCCATAGGAAGCTCCACCGAAGGCCCCAGGGGGGGGGGGGGGGGGGGCACATGCGTCCCCCACGCCCTGGAGGCCCTCTTGGAGGCCTCTTGGGCCATCTTAGGGCCATGTTCGGCCGTCTTGGTGGGCTCCTGGTCCCGTCGGAAGCTGTTTGGGGGGCCTCTATGGGCCGACTTGGGGCCCTCTTGGAATGTTCCAGGGCCGTCTTGGAGGCCATCTTGGGCGTCTGAAAGGCATCCTGCGCCGTCTTGGGGGCCTCTTCGGGCCGTCTTTGGGCCCTCTTGGGCCGTTCTGGGGCCATTTTGGAGGCCTCTTAGGTGATCTTTCGGCGGTTTAGGGGGGCTCTTGGGCAGTCTCGGGCCGTCGGGTCGTCGGAAGGCAGACAAGAAGCAAATGTCAAAACCTGAAACCAAAAAACACAAAAAAGTTTTGACAACAAAACAAGGTTGTTGGCCTCTTCTGGTCTTCCTGGAGGCCCTCTTAGGGGCCTCTTGGGCCGTCTTGGGCCAGCTTCGAGTCAACTTCGGCCATCTTGGTGGGTTCCTGGCACGTCTGGCGCCGTCGGGGGCCGTCGTGGAGGACTCTTGGAGGGTTCTTGGGCCGTCTTGGAGGCCATCTCGGGCGTCTTGGAGACCATCTCGGGCGTGTTGGAGGCCTCTTGGGCCGTCTTGGGGCCCTCTTGGGGCCGTCTTGAAGGCCACTTGGGCCGTCATGGGGCCCTCTTGGAGGCCTCTTGGGCGATCTTGGGAGCCTCTTGGGCCGTCCTGGGCCGTCGGAAAGCCGAAGAGGCGCAAATGCCATAATCCTTCAATTACACTACCGAGGAACCCCACATACTTATTGTATGTCACGTGTGTTCACAAACCATGTCACATCTCGCTTCGCCATCCTGACGACAGAATGACCAGACCAGCCAGACTTACCAGACCAGCCAGATCATTCGTTCCAGCCATAACCAGCCAAAGTAAACAGACCAGCCAGCCAGGCCAATCAAGCAGACCAGCCAGGCCACCAACCGTCGTTCATCTCCGAGTACCTCGCGTAGAACGTATCGGGCCACCAATTGTGAAGCTGGCGGCGGTGCGCATTCACAGCGGACTGCACCACTCCGTTGGCGCATTTGCGGGAGGTCTCCACGCTAACCTCGCCGCCCATCTGAACCATTGCAGTCTTCATCGCCAAACATGGAGGTGGCAGCGCGTCCACGGCGATGTTGGGAGGCATGGTTGCCGCGCAGGTCGGGCGGTGCTCTGAAGCAGGACTGCAGGAGCGCGCCTGCGTGAGAGCGCAGGCGCGCCGAGCCGGCTTGAGCCAAAGTGTTTACAGTTCTTGACAAGATACGAGCTCCCACCCCCACCGCAGCCCCTGTGGCGTCGAGGAAATGCCACGCTTGCCACGCCCTGGGAGCCTGCAACTCACAGGGCCGCCGAAGAGGCGCAAATGCCAGAACCTTTCAAAAACCGGAAGGAAAATCAATGATTTTGGCCTCGTCGGGCCTTCCTGGAGGACCTCTTGAAGGCCTCGTGGGCCGTTTCGGAGGCCTCTTGCCGGCCTTTTGGACCGTCTTAGACCATCTTGAGGCCATCTTGGGCCGTCTCGGGTGCATCTTGGAGCCACCGCAGCCGTCTTTGAGGCCATCTTGGCGGTCTTGGAGCAACTTGGAGGCCATCCTGGGACATCTTGGCCGTCTTGGAGGCCACCTTGGGCCATCTTGGGGCAAGAAAGGCGACGACAGGCGGGTTTTCCGGGTGGCCGGCGGGACGGGCCGAAGCCCCAGGGGGAGTTCTTTTGGAAAAAGAACCCAAACCACGAGCCATATAGTTCGGCACGCCAGGCACCCCTTTGATAAATCAAAAGGGGGCGGCGGATCCACCGGCCTTCGGCCCACCCCGCCACCGAGCCTGAGTTGTGGCCAAGAAGCCTCTTGGATGCTCGTTGGGATCTCGTGGGAGGCCTCTCGAGGGCCTCCTGGACGTCTTGGACCGATCGCGCGGCGATTCGGGACCCTCTTTGGGCCGTCTTGGGAGCACCTTGGGGCCACCTTGGCCCGTCTCGGGGCCCTCGCGGGCCCGAGAAAGTCACGCGACGGGGCGCGACAAGCCCAGGAGGCACGCGACGCGCTCCAGGAGCCACGCAACGCGCCCCGGTCGATTCGTCAATTTTTGGGCCTGGATTGTCTGTGAAGCATCCTGAGGACTGGGGACTGAGGCTGCAGGGGATACAACAAGGGACCTGAGGGCACTCCAACTGGTGCTTCAGTGGCGGATGGAGAGGGGCCCCGAAGGTCGCCAGAGGCCCCCTGAGTTTGCAGAGGGCTTCTTCGAGGGTCGAAGACGCATCGCATCGCGAAGACAGTTAAACACGGGAAATGTGGAGCATGATTGAAAGTGGCTTGCCTCCGAAGGTTATGGGGCACGTTCATCCTTAGTGGGTCGATGTCGGGCCCCGAGGTCGGCCAAGGATTGATCAGGTCGACGGGCTTGCCTTGAACAAGCAAGGGGGTCGTCGAGACCTCCGCGAGCCCACGTCATCTATGGGAGAAAGAGGGGATAGCACACACACACACACACACACACACACATTCACAAACACACACACACAAAACACACACACACACACACACACACACACACGCACGCACACACACACACACACACACACACATACACACACACACACACACTCACACGAAAGCAGTAAAATAAAGGTATCGGGTTGAAGGAGCTTTCCGAAGGTCTCCAGAGGTCCTGGGAGTTCGCAATATGGTCCCAGAGGCTTCCTGGCATTATCCGAGACGTTCGATGTGTTCGAGAGATTTTCGACCGAGTCCAAAGGTTTCCGGAAGGTCTCAGATATTTCGGACTTCGTTTTCATGTTATCAGTATGTCCCCAGGGGCGGGGGACACCATTTATCCACCCACACCAAGCATCGTTGGCTAGGCCAGGGAGCCGTATCCGCTCTCCTGGCCATATGGCCAGGAGGTCGCGCAGGATCCGCGTGTACGCCCTCCTGGCTGAGCTCGGAGACCGTACCCGCCACTGTTGGGCCGTGGATTGGCCTAGCCAGGATCGGTGCAGGTGGATCGTTGGAGGAGGGGGGGGGGGAGGAGGAGAAGTGAGCAGGAGGAGGAGAAGGAGGAGGAGGAGGAGGAGGACGAGGACGAGGACGAGGAGGGCGAGGAGTGACGAGGAGGAGCAGGAGGAGAAGGAGGAGGAGGAGGAGGAGGACGAAGGGGAGGGGGAGGGGGAGGGGGAGGAGGAGAGGATCAGCTGGCGTCCTCACGCAGGAGTCACTGCGAGGACGGCTTCGTCTGGGAGGAGGGCCCCAACTCGTTCGCGACCCAGCCGAGCATCGTGCGCATCGCCCACGAGCTCGGCATCGACGACCAGCTCGTCTTCGCCAACGAGGCGCTGCCCCCGTGGGTCAACCACGGCGGCAAGCTGCACCCGCTGCCCAAGGGGAAGGGCGGCAAGGGCGTGGCGGGGCAGCTGGAGCTCGTGTTCGGGCCGAACGGGGTGCTCAAGTTCGGCCTCACCAGCGAGCTGCTCTCGTGGCCCGGCAAGATCCGCGCCGGCATCGGCGCGCTGCTGGGCCACGAGGGGCCGCCAGACGGCAAGGATCCTCTTTCTACTTCCCATTCTCCTCCCCCTCCTCATTCTCCTCCTCATTATCCTCCTCCTCCTCCTCATCATCATCAGCAGCAGCAGCATCAGCATCAGCATTATCATCATCATCATCATCATCATCAGCAGCAGCAGCAGCAGCAGCAGCAGCATCATCATCATCATCATCATCATCATCATCATCATCATCATCATCATCATCATCATCATCATCATCATCATCCTCTCCGCCCCTCCTCCTGCTCTCTCCTCCTCATCCTCCACCTCCTCTCCTCCTCCTCGTCCACCTCCTCCTCCTCCTCCTCCTCCTCACCCTAGTCGCTCCTACTCCTCCTCCTCCTCCTCCTCCTCCTCCTCCTCCCCTGCGCTCTTCCTCCTCCTCTCCTCCTCCTCCTCCTCCTCCTCCTCCTCCTCCTCCTCCTCCTCTCCTCTCCTCCTCCTCCTCCTTCCTCCTCCTCCTCCTCCCTCCTCTTCCTCTTCCTCCCCTCCTCCTCCTCCTCCTCCTCCTCCTCCTCCTCCTCCTCCTCCTTCGCCTCCTTTGCCTCCTCCTCCTCCTGGCTACGAGTAAGAGGGTGACCCTCCACCGCAGGTGCATCTGGTGCGGGCCATAGGCCCCCCCAGCAGCGGCCTGCGCATTTGGGATTTGGCCACCTCGCGGCCCTCTGAAGCCGCGCACCAGAGGTCACTCTCGTCCAGAGTCCTCTTGCGTGCCGCCGAAAGGAGGAGACCATCCGGGAGTGGGTCACGCGCATCCTCGGCGAGGAGGTCTTCCTGCGTTGCATCGACCCGTTCGTCTCGGGCGTCTACGCCGGGGACCCCGAGACCCTGTCGATGAAGGCCGCCCTCCCGAAGATATCGCGCATCGAGGAGTACTCCTACTCCCTCGGCTGGAACGTCGGCGGGGCGATCCTGTACGGCGGCCTGAAGAGACAGGCGGAGCTCGTCAAGGAGCGGAAGGCGCGGGGATCCGAAAGCACAATGGCTCGGCCCGCGGCCCTCGGCTCGACCCCCCCCCTCTGGGGCCCTGCGGCCCCGAGGCCTCCCAGAGCCTCCTGGGGGCCTCGCGCGTGGCCCCGACGCCGCCCTCGCCCTCGCCCTCGCCCCCCCCCCCCCCCGCCTCCCGAGGCCCGCTGGGCCGCTGGCGGGGTCCTGGAGCCGCTCGCCCCCGCACCCCCACCCCCGCAGCAAAGCAGCTGCATCCGCACGCCGTTCGCGCCTGTGGGAGTGGAGGAAATCACCAGTTTTGCAAGACGCCCGAGCGATTTCCGGCACGCCTGCGTGCCGCTCGCGCCGCCGACGCGCCCCAGGGGCGCATGGCCTTTGCCTCGCCGTGCCGTGCCCCCGCCCTCCAGCAGCAGAGAGTGGCGAAGAACATCGCGTCGTGATTTTGTTCATGACTCGAGGGGATCAGGGGTCGTCCCGCCCCACCCACGATCCTCCGCAGGAGCCCGCCGCGGGGGCCTCCTGGGCCGCGAGGGCCCTTCCGCCCGCAGGATGCGGACCCTCCTGCTTCCCCGTGGGAGTAGAAGGACCACTGCTCCCAGGGTCCATGTCGATCCGATCAATCCGACTTGATGCCGGCTCTGGCTGGCCCGATCCGATTCGATTTGATATTCCGACGATCCGGTGCGGCCCGATGTTCGCACGGTGTGGTTGTGCATCTTGGCGCAGCCGACCCGATTCGATGATCCGATCCCGCGCCGATGCAGACCCATCCGAGGCAAAAATCGACCCGATCCGATGTACGACCCGATGCTGAGTGATCCTGACTGCCCCCGCGAAGACTCGAGAGCGTCAAGTCCGCCCCCAGGGCCCCGGACAGCCCCAGGATCCTGGAAAGTAGGCTTTGGAGGGCCCGAGATCGAGGAGAGTAGAGTCTGCGGGCATCGAGCAACGTCACCACGTCGGGGGTCTCTGGGAAGCCTCAGAAAAGATCAACCCCTCGGCCTTTCCTGGGGTGCGCTCTGGCCAGGAGATGTCGCCGCGCCGTTTGTTCCGACGCGCGGCCGTGCGTCTTTGAGAGGGCGCCGCGGCCACCAGGGCAAACGCCGCCTCGGACGCAAAGTTTGCCGTGGGTTTGCCGGGGTGTCAGCGTCGTCCACCTGGACGCGTCGAGAACAAACGGTGCGGCGACATATCGAGGGAACCCCAGCCGTGGCAACAGAAGCCTCCCGAAGACGCGAAAAAGGAGTGAGCACATGGGACACCCGCGGGGGCGCGAAGATGATCGCCCCGCACGCGTCGCGGCCTCGGCCGGGGCGTCTGTCTGTCCCTCAGGGCTTCAGGGGGAGGAGGAGGAGGAGGAGGAGGAGGAGGAGGAGGAGGAGGATGAGGAGGAGGAGACGGCGGAGGAGGAGGAGGAGGAGGATGACGCTTGCGCCGCCCACCTTCCTGCCAGGGAGGAGGAGGAGGAGTATGAGAGG